AAAAAGAAAATTAATAAAGCTATATCTAAATTAAGGGAAAATCAAAAAGGTTCAAGAAAATAGCTATAAAATATAGATTTTAGGAGAACCTATTTTTGGCCATTTTATTGGTTAAAAAACGTTAAAAATCTTATGGAAAGTTTTATTTAAATAGCTAATCTAAAATAGATATATATATATATATGCAAATCCATTTTTGGGGCAATTTTGAAAAACATAATTTTACAAAAAAGCGTTTCGGGATTTTTCCTGGTAATTTTTTGGATTACTTTATACTAAACGATGCTGATGTGTTTCTGTTTTTGTTTAATTGACTGAATTCGGGTGTATCTTTGCTTTTTTCAGGTTCGTCGAAGCGCAACAAAACCCGGATAAAGCCCCGCTGCTGCTGTGGCTGAATGGAGGGCCCGGATGCTCGTCGATGGACGGCTTCCTCACCGAGATGGGACCGTTCAGGTTGATTTTCAAGAGTTTCAGGCCTTTTGCCGGCCTGAAATTCCGGCCATAGCTGTACATGGACAAACACAACGGGCTCCAAAACGTTTAGCACAAATTATGGGAAATTCCCCGCGTAATAGCAAAAGAACGGCGCAAACAGTCATATTATTGGCGTATTCGGCACATTTTTGGTGCAAATCTAAAATTTCCAGGCCGACAAAGGATAACGGAAGCAGCCTGGTGGAGAATGTGTACTCATGGAATAAGGTAATTTTTTGGAACTGAAGGTGATGTGGCAATACCGTTTCTTTAGCTAGCCAACATGCTGTACCTCGAATCACCACGTGACATCGGATATTCGTATCGGGATAAGACGGCTCCGAAAGATACTCTTTACAATGATGATAAGGTGAGGAATGAAAGGGCAGGCTAGCAGAGATTGTTGAGGAAGAGGAGAGGGCAGGCTAGCAGAGATTGTTGAGGAAGAGAAGAGGGCAGGCTAGCAGAGATTGTTGAGGGAGGAGAGAGGCAGCTAGGCAGAGATTGTTGAGGAAGAGGGAGGGCAAGGCTAGCGAGATTGTTGAGGAAGAGGAGAGGGCAGGCTAGCAGAGATTGTTGAGGAAGAGGAGAGGGCAGGCTAGCAGAGATTGTTGAGGAAGAGAAGAGGGCAGGCTAGCAGAGATTGTTGAGGAAGAGGAGAGGGCAGGCTAGCAGAGATTGTTGAGGAAGAAGAGAGGGCAGGCTAGCAGAGATTGTTGAGGAAGAGGAGGCAGGCTAGCAGAGATAGTTGAGGAAGAGGAGAGGGCAGGCTAGCAGAGATCCTTTGAGAATCATATATTTTCCAGACTGCCGTCGACAATGTATTGGCTCTCCAGGCTTTCTTTGCTCGATTCCCCGAGTACAAAAATCGTGATTTCTACGTGACCGGTGAGGCTATGAAAATATAACCTAAAAAAAAGTAGAATAGTAGTATTTTTTATACTACTTTTAGTAAAACCTAAAAGTAGTATAAAAACGCATAAAAGTAATAAAGCGTATCTTTTTCAAGCAGTACCTAGCTTCCTCCTCCTCTTTCTGTTCCTATATCCATAAATTCCAGGCGAATCCTATGGCGGCGTGTACGTGCCGACCCTGACGAACTTGTTGGTGAAAATGATCCAGGTAAAGTAGGGCTTGGAACCGTTCAAAATCAATAACTTTTATAATTTAACCCGATTTTAATTGACGTTAATCCAAAAAGACACTTTTAGAATGGCACCCTACCGTATGTGAAGCTGATCGGAATGGCCGTCGGTAACGGAGCCTTGAATCGAATGGATCTCGTCAATTCCGGGCTGGACCTCGTCTACTATCGAGGAATTATTGGAAAAAGGTATGTTTTTATTTGCTAACGTTTTGTGAAAATTGCCTTTTTCACACATTTCGCAAATTAAAATTACAGCGCATCGAAATTTCGAAAAAAATGATATTTCGAAAAAAACCATATTTCGACATAATGATTTCCGGCAAACTGCTAACAAATCCATGGGCTGGACCCCCGCTAACAGTCTAGTACCAGAATTCCTCAAATGGCTTCTGCTACTCTGCCCTGAGACTGTGGGGCTAAATTCCTCAAGAATCTCTGCTAGCTTGCCCCTTTCAGCGAATTCGACGCAATGCAAGAGTGCTGCCAGGCGCCGCAAGAGCTGAGCGCGCCGCTGCAGATGTGCAACTTCTCGCAATATGTTAATATTGATGATTACGGTAGGGAGGGCAATTTAATAAACAACAAATTTAGGAAATGCGGTCGTGGTCAACTACACGGACCCGGTGAAGCTGCGCTGCTCCCAGCGCACCGTCAAATACGGCCAGGATTTGGTGTGGAGCACGTAAGGGAGCTGGAATTTTGAGAATTTGAATTAATAGATCATTCCGGTGCTTTTGCATTATCGGGGAGGATGTAAAAAACTAGGATTTTACCAGGAATTTGAAATTTTTGACGAATATGATAATTTTTTTCTCGAAAAATGAACATTTTTGTATTATTTTAATCCTCCCCCCGATAAGGTAAAAACACCTCGTTTAACTTTAAAATTGAGATTAAGTACTATATTTAAAGCCCTTTAACAAATTTACAAAGCTGTTATATTTAAGGGAAAATTAGGCGAAAAATGCCTGCCATTTCCTCAATAAACGCTGCTAGCCTCCCGTTTACTCAAAAATCTCTGCTAGCTTGCCTTATGCTCAAAAAGCTCCTGATTTTCAGGCTTAACAACGTCTACAACACGTGGGCCGACTGCTACACCCAGTCGCCCGACTCGATGGATATGGGCGAGAAGTTGGAGCAGCTCGTTAGGCAGCACCCGTACCTTAAATTGTGAGCTCTCTTTCTCTCTCTCTCTCTCTCTCTCCCTCTCTTGCTCCTGCGTATTACGAATCAAATTCCATTCAGATTTGCCAACTCGATCGACTACCAAATGTTCAGCAACGGCCAGAACCCCTTCGTCGACCAGGGGGTAATTTTGAAGCTTAAAAAACTGCGTTTCAAGGAACAAAATGATCCTGACTGCTAAAATTTTTCTAATCCTCTGTTCCGTGAGAGCTGGAAAATACTTTTAGAGCCAAGGCACCTCCACCTCAACAGACTCGGTTGGCGGCTTCTCTTGTTATGCTCAGGCCGCTGCTACGGCTTATATGAATCGGCAGGACGTGAAAAAGGCCCTCCATATTCCGGACGGGCTGCCGGCTTGGCAATTGTGCAAGTAAGGGATCAAACTGTCTCTGCTAGCCTGCCCTCTCCTCTTCCTCAACAATCTCTGCTAGCCTGCCCTCTCCTCTTCCTCAACAATCTCTGCTAGCCTGCCCTCTCCTCTTCCTCAACAATCTCTGCTAGCCTGCCCTCTCCTCTTCCTCAACAATCCCTGCTAGCCTGCCCTCTCCTCTTCCTCAACAATCCCTGCTAGCCTGCCCTCTCCTCTTCCTCAACAATCTCTGCTAGCCTGCCCTCTCCTCTTCCTCAACAATCTCTGCTAGCCTGCCCTCTCCTCTTCCTCAACAATCACCGCTAGGATGCCTATTGCTTGCTTTTTAGCGACGATATCAACGCCATCTACTACAAGCAGCAGCACCCCGACATGATGCCCGTCTTCCAGGAGATGTTCGACTCGGGTACCGCAGTTTTGATATTGATTTATTGCAAATTAAAGGCTACCCCCTCCGCTTCCTCATCTACAACGGCGACGCCGACATGGCCTGCCAGGTATAAGCTCTATTAAAAAATTAACTTAAATTATATTTTTAGTTCATGGGCGACCAGTGGTTCATCGAGCGCTTTATCGCCAAGAACATGGTAAGCCGGCTTAGAAAAAGACAAGAGTTGCGGGCAGAAGGGAGCTGGGGTTTGGGAGCTGGGAGCTGGGAGTTGAGAAGTTAGCCGGGGAAATCGATGTTGTGCTCCCAACTCCTACCTTCCATTTTTTTCTAACGACTATATTTACTGCCTATCCTGGAGCTCCTAGCAGCTCCTTTCTCCTAGCAGTTCCCAACTCCTAGAAGCTTCTAACTTCTCGTAACTTCTGGAAGTCTTCTTGCTTCCTGGCCTTCAAGCGCTTTCAGAAACTTCTAGCTCCCAGAATATCCTAGTGTTCACCGTGCTCAGCAGCTCCGAACTCCCAGCGCTTAAATTTACCCTCTTCAGATCCCCACCACCTCCCTCCGTCAAGTCTGGAATTACACCAGGACCACCGATTTCATGCCCAGGATTGGCGGCTTTGCCAAGACGTTCGCCTTGAACAACATGACTGTCGATTTGCTGACGGTTAGGGTGAGTGGTTTTAGGCGAAGAGAGAGAGAGAGAGAGAGCGAGAGAGAGAGAGAGAGAGGGAGAGAGAGAGAGAGACGGTCATATCAGATCGAAACACCGGAAACGCTATTAACACCAAAAACCCCCAAATTTCCTACCCGATTCCCTAAAACAACTTTTTTCTAAATTTTTCCAGTTTTTCTTTAAATTTTTAAAATGTTATCATAGATTTTTGCGTAATTGGAAGAGTAGGCAGCAAGCAGAAATCGTTGCGGAAATTTTAGGGAGCCGGCCACATGGTGCCCACCGACCGCCCCGGGCCCGCCTTCCAGATGCTCCAGAATTACCTCGGAAAATCGAACTATACATCCATTGCTTCGATTGACTACGCGCCGAAACCTTTGCTACCACAGTACCAGCCACCACCCACCAAGACTTGTAATTTTTAAGCGCATAAAATTTAAACGCGACTTTTTTAGGGACCCGAAAACAGGCCGACCGAGTCTGGGATCTGCCAGGTTTGTATTCATTTTGGAGCCAGGCTAGCAGAGATTGTTGAGGAAGAGGAGAGGGCAGGCTAGCAGAGATTGTTGAGGAAGAGGAGAGGGCAGGCTAGCAGAGATTGTTGAGGAAGAGGAGAAGGCAGGCTAGCAGAGATTGTTGAGGAAGAGGAGAGGGCAGGCTAGCAGAGATTGTTGAGGAAGAGGAGAGGGCAGGCTAGCAGAGATTGTTGAGGAAGAGGAGAAGGCAGGCGTAGAGATTGTTGAGGGAAGAGGAGAGGGCAGGCTAGCAAGAGTGTTGAGGAAGAGGAGAGGGCAGGCTAGCAGAGATTGTTGAGGAAGAGGAGAGGGCAGGCTAGCAGAGATTGTTGAGGAAGAGGAGAGGGCAGGCTAGCAGAGATTGTTGAGGAAGAGGAGAAGGCAGGCTAGCAGAGTTGTTGAGGAAGAGGAGGGGCAGGCTAGCAGAGATTGTTAGGAAGAGGAGGGGGCAGGCTGCAGAGAGTGTTGAGGGAAGAGGAGGGGGCAGGCTAGCAGAGATTGTTGAGGAAGAGGAGAGGGCAGGCTAGCAGAGATTGTTGAGGAAGAGGAGAAGGCAGGCTAGCAGAGTTGTTGAGGAAGAGGAGAGGGCAGGCTAGCAGAGATTGTTGAGGAAGAGGAGAGGGCAGGCTAGCAGAGATTGTTGAGGAAGTGGAGAGGGCATGCTAGCAGAGATTGTTGAGGAAGAGGAGAGAGGACAGGCTAGCAGAGATTGTTGAGGAAGAGGAGAGGGCAGGCTAGGCAGAGATTGTTGAGGAAGAGGGAGAGGGCAGGCTAGCAGAGATTGTTGAGGAAGAGGAGAGGGCAGGCTAGCAGAGATTGTTGAGGAAGAGGGGAAGGCAGGCTAGCAGAGATTGTTGAGGAAGAGGAGAGGGCAGGCTAGCAGAGATTGTTGAGGAAGAGGAGAGGGCAGGCTAGCAGAGATTGTTGAGGAAGAGGAGAGGGCAGGCTAGCAGAGTTGTTGAGGAAGAGGAGAGGGCAGGCTAGCAGAGATTGTTGAGGAAGAGGAGAAGGCAGGCTAGCAGAGATTGTTGAGGAAGAGGAGAGGGCAGGCTAGCAGAGATTGTTGAGGAAGAGGAGAGGGCAGGCTAGCAGAGATTGTTGAGGAAGAGGAGAAGGCAGGCTAGCAGAGATTGTTGAGGAAGAGGAGAGGGCAGGCTAGCAGAGATTGTTGAGGAAGAGGAGAGGGCAGGCTAGCAGAGATTGTTGAGGAAGAGGAGAGGGCAGGCTAGCAGAGATTGTTGAGGAAGAGGAGAGGGCAGGCTAGCAGAGATTGTTGAGGAAGAGGAGAAGGCAGGCTAGCAGAGATTGTTGAGGAAGAGGAGAGGGCAGGCTAGCAGAGATTGTTGAGGAAGAGGAGAGGGCAGGCTAGCAGAGATTGTTGAGGAAGTGGAGAGGGCATGCTAGCAGAGATTGTTGAGGAAGAGGAGAGGACAGGCTAGCAGAGATTGTTGAGGATTCTCATTTCCAGGAATCACCTACAACCTCAACTTCAAGCAGTACTCCGGCTACCTGAGCGGCGTCGCTGGAAACTATTTGCATTATTGGTAAGTACTGAAACTCAAGAAGGCAGGATTAAAAGGAAAAACATATGTTTTTACCCTAGGATTCTTTGAAACAAACTTTTTTTCAGGCTCGTCGAGTCGCAGGGAAATCCGAAAACCGATCCGCTGGTGCTGTGGCTCAATGGCGGCCCTGGATGCTCATCGTTGGGCGGTTTGTTCTCCTTCTCTCTCTCTCTTTCTCTCTCTCTCTCTCTTACCCTCGCTAATTCTTATGATTTTAGGTATGCTCACCGAGCTCGGTCCGTTCCACCCGAATCCCGATGGAAAGACGCTGTTTGAGAATGTTTTCTCATGGAACAAGGTAAGCCGCTGCTTCCCTAGGAATCTATGCTAGCCTGCCCTCTCCTCTTCCCCAACAATCTCTGCTAGCTTGCCCTTAATTCTCTTTTTTAGGTGGCCAACGTACTCTTCTTGGAAGGGCCGCGCAACGTCGGCTTCTCAGTCCAGAATCGATCGATAAATCCGGATGAGGATTACAATGATGATAGGGTATGCTTAGATTAGGCTTAGGCTTAGGCTTAGGCTTAGGCTTAGGCTGAGGCTTACTATCAACTTCAGACAGCCAACGACAACTACCTGGCGCTGAAGGACTTCTTGACGGCGTATCCCGAATACGTCAATCGGCCATTTTACGTGACAGGTACGGTAGGGCAGGTTAGCAGAGAGAATTTGAGGAATCTAGACCTCTGTTCCGGTTCTATAGGCTAACTTTAAGGTGAATCCTACGGTGGCGTGTACGTGCCGACGTTGACAAGCCTGTTGATCGACAAAATTCAGGTATTCAGACAGCTTTTGTTAAAAAGATACTGTGGATATTTTTAGTCCGGCGACCTGGTGGGGCTGAACTTGGCCGGGATGGCGGTCGGCAACGGCGAGCTGTCCGCGCTGAAGCAGGTCAACTCCATCATCTCGATGCTGTACTTCCATGGGATTTATGGGAAGAGGTAAGTGAATCAAAAACAAATCTCATTTCTTTATGACTTCCCAGTCCCTTTAAAACCGAAATTTCAGCGATTACGATCAGCTGCAAAAGTGCTGCAACAACACGGGCGATCCGACCTGGTTCGAGTACTGCGATTTCTCGCAGTTCATTACTGTAGGAATTTTTCCATTTTAATTTTTTGAAAAAAACTGTTTTAGATGATTGGGTAGGCAAATCAGGCGATTTGGAGATAATGTTCACTCGATTCTAAAACTCTCTCTCTCTCTCTCTCTCTCTCTCTCTCTCTCTCTCTCTCGCTCTCTGTCTCTCTCTCTCGCTCCCTCTCTCACTCTCTCTCCATCTCTCACTTTGTCTCTATATCTGTTGCTCTCTCTATCTTTCTCTTTCTGTTGCTCTCTCTCCCTCGTTTCGTCTCACTCTATGCCCCTCCATTCCGTTTTACATTTTCAATTTAGTTTAGAAATAACAAGAGCTAACAATGAGACAGACAGAGATAGCGAGAGATAGAGCCAAACGCGAAAAATAATTCTTTTCCCAGCTCGACTCCGCCGGAAACGCCCAAGCCAAGGTGGCCAACGATCCGTGCGGGACCCAGGTGGCCGACCTCGGGCAGATGCGTGTCTGGACGAGCATGTGAGTTTTCCTCAACAGCCTCTGCTAGCCTGCTCTGCGTAGAATTTCCTAAAAAGTCTCTGCTATCCTACGATCACGCGAGGATTCCATAAAAGCCTCGCTTAACCTGAAAATCGTCTTTAGTAATGACGTGTACAACATCTACCAAGATTGCTACCAGACGACGTCGACGATGCTTGGAACGCGGATGTTCCGCCCGCATAAGGAGGCCATTCAGCGGCATCTGGAGCAGAAGGTCTTCGTCGACCAGGGGGTAGGCCAGCAGAGATTCTTGAGGAAAATTTTTAGGCCAAAATCTCGGGTTATTCGACCGACGGGCAGGGCGGATTCCCCGTGTTTCTCAGATGATGCTACTGCTCAGTAAGTTTGTTGTCGATTTCTCCGTCTCTCTGTCTCTCTCTCTCTCTCTCTCCCGCATGTTCTCATTTTGCAGATACCTGAATTCCAACGACGTCCGTGACGCCCTCCACGTCTCGCCGATGGCCGGCACTTGGTCCAACTGCAAGTACGTTTCCGCAATAATCTCTGCTAGACTGCCCTCTCCCCTCCTCTTCCTCAACAATCTCTCCTAGCCTGCCCTCTCCTCTTCCTCAACAATCTCTGCTAGCCTGCCCTCTCCTCTTCCTCAACAATCTCTGCTAGTTTGCGATTTTCAGCTACACCATCAACGACATTTACATGCAGCAACATAACGACACCGGCTCCGTTTTTGACCACATCGTTAAGTAAGCTATTTTGAGCTTAGAAAACGGTGTTTCAAAAGTGTCTATGCTTTACGGGGTTCGATAAATTTTAATTTTTCCCGTATGACGACGTGAATTTTCCAGATCCGGCTACCCCCTGCGCATGCTCATCTACAACGGTGACGTCGACCAGGTTAGCGGCCAAAATTCAGAATTTCCTAAGGAATCTCGACGGCTCTACCCTTCCTCAAAAACCTCTGCCAGCCTGCCCAATTCCCCCATTTCAGGCCTGCAACTTCCTGGGCGATCAGTGGTTCGTCGAGGAGCTGGCTACGCGCCAGAATTTCGCCGTCGCCAAGGCGCGCAAGGAGTGGCGCTACATGGCCCAGATTGCCGGCTACGTCAAGCAGTTCAGCTACGGGTCAGGGTCGATTGATGTGCTGACGGTTAAGGTGAGAGAGAGAGAGAGAGAGCGAGAGGGAGAAAGAGGGAGGCGAGGGAGGCAGGGAGATAGAGACGGCGAGAGAGAAAGAGAGAGAGAGCGAGAGGGAGAGAGAGGGAAGGCGAGGGAGGCAGGGAGATAGAGACGGCGAGAGAGCGAGTGAGAGAGAGAGAGAGAGAGAGAGAGAGAGAGAGAGAGATCATCCACTTTCCAGGGTGCTGGCCACTTTGTCCCCACCGACCGCCCGGGCCCGGCCCTCCAGATGATTGCCAATTTCCTCCGTGGTCAAGACTACAGTAATCCTACAGCTACAGTACCCCAAAAATCCTTAATTTAGGCAACAAGCTGATCGTCTCGAAGTCGTTGACCTCGCTGACGCGCGGCTACCAGAATGCGGAAAGGGTACGGTAATTCGGATAAGCATTTTTCAGCATTTTACGATGTATCTTACAGACCTTTTAGAATTTTATAGTTTTCGAATATTTTCTTTGAAAATTTTAGATTAATTCGACGAGGATGTGTAAGGTAATATAAACATAGCATAAGGTATCTTACTGACTTAGGCTTAGGCTTAGGCTTAGGCTTGGCTTAGGCTAGGCTTAGCTTTAGGTTTAGGCTTAGGCTTAGGCTTAGGCTTAGGCTTAGGCTTGGAAGCAGGCTTGGCTAGGCTAGGCTTGGCTTTAGGTTTGAAGCTAGGCTTACGCTTAGGCTTAGGCTTGGCTTAGGCTAGGCTTAGCTTTAGGTTTAGGCTTAGGCTTACGCTTAGGCTTAGGCTTGGCTTAGGCTAGGCTTAGCTTTAGGTTTAGGCTTAGGCTTACGCTTAGGCTTAGGCTTGGCTTAGGCTAGGCTTAGCTTTAGGTTTAGGCTTAGGCTTACGCTTAGGCTTAGGCTTAGGCCTAGGCTCATAAGGGAACAATTAAAATGTCTTCCTGTAGTTGTAGTTTCTTGTAATTTTATTAGTATCTTTTCAAGGCAGTTTGAAATTTTGAAAAAAATGCTTTATTGGTTTTCATGGTCGCACATTTCTATGCATAACTTAGTAATTTATTGCTGCCGGCGATCGGCTAAATATTTTGCTTACAGACAGCCCAGGCCTCAAACTACTCGGCGCCTACCGTAACCCGGCCGAAGTCCCCGATTTCGGCGCACTACGGCAAGAAAATGGACATGCATCTGGGGGCAGCGAAGGCGGCACGAGGAGTCAAGCTCGAGGTTTGTAGCTTGTAGGTTGTAGTCTTTTTACGGTAGGTGCTGAGTATACTATTCACGGACATGTAGTTTGTAGTCTTTCGTTGTGGCCTTGTGATCGTAGACTCTGATCGGCTTGTAGTCTATAGCCATGACCAGCTAAATTCGTAGTATATATTTCCGAACCCAGCCGCTTAATTTGTAGTCCGTAATTTGCGCGTTTTTACACCGCCTTTAGGTGCAGCCCGTACTTTCCGTTAAACTTGATAGTTTAGCGCTTTCGGAGCCACCACTACCACCTTGTGGTTTGTAGTTTGTAGCTTATAGCTTCGATTCTCGATCGTTGCAACTTGTATCTGGGTGGGGCTTTCGTTGGCGGGCCTGGCGATAGGATCCGTAGAGTTATGACCACCATTTGCTAGCAACCACATCTGTACTTTTTTAGGACGGTCGTGTTTCCACGACGATTATCATGCGGCAACTAATTTTTAGACCCTTATGGTTTCCAGAATCGGATAGAGCACTTCCAAATCTACGTTGACACTACAAAAAATAGCGATCTATCGCTTAGAAATGCAATTTTTCGAGATGAAATTGAACCACCCAAAACTTTTTCCGCACCCTGTAGTTTGTAGTGTACGTAGTTTTCCGTACAAAGACTGGAGGTGTCGTTTGTAGCCTTGCGTAGCCAACGGCAGTTGTCGTTTGTAGTGTTTCGTAGTCGTAAAATTTTCGCTCGATTGTACATGGCCCATGAATGCACAAATTTCCAGCTCCCGATCCTCGACATCCCCCCGCCGGCCCCGACCACCAGGGACCAGGACCGGATTGATGCTTCCCAACTGCCCGGCCTCACCTTCACCCCCACCTTCCAAATGTACTCCGGATATCTCGACGCTTCGAAGGGAAATCATCTCTTTTATTGGTTAGTTAGCAAGGCAATTTTTTAATGATATATCCGTCCAGATTTTTAAAAGGAAAAATTTCAAATGTGCGAGCTGAAAAAATTTGAGAAAAATGTGTTTCGCCAAAAAAGTTGTTACGAAAATGAAGAAGCGATATAGTGACACGCCGAAATGTTGCAAAAAATCTACTCTAACGAGAAAATTCTTCTTGTGGTACGGGTAGAAAACCGTACATATTTTTGACCCGCCAAAATTTCCAAAGAATGTGTTTCGCCAAAAAAACTGGATACTATCGTGGAAAACTTTATAATTCCTTGTACGTGCTTGCAGCTAAAAATACGCCGAAAGGTTAAAAAAAAGTCCATTTTTTTGCTTTTGGATTATGATAAGATTAGATGAAGAAAAAGCAGTTAGACTACCCGTTTCTCATAAAAATAATTTGTAAGATTTTGGGCCTCAAAAATCTGGAAAAAGCGTGTTTCGCAAAAATAACTGGTGGCTAGCTCGGGTCTTTATAATTTACGATCGATCGAAACCAAATCACCTCTTTTTTTAAACTGAGAGTTTCAGGTTAGAAAAGTTAGAAAGTTTTTTATTTTTCATCGATGGGTTTCAATTAAAATATTTAGCACATTTTAAAACATCAACGTTTTAAGAAGTCGCTTTGCGAAAAATTCTACAAAGGTTTCTGGATTGCTATAATTTCGATAGCGTTTTTAGACTGGCAAAATCAAGCAAAACATTCCAAAGAAATGTTTGGTAAAATATGGTTTTTATATTTCAAAAATTAACAAAAACACGGGTTTTACCATTTTTTCAAAATCCAAAAAATCATGTTTCTCAAAATAACACGTTACAAGCGTGGTGGAGCCTTGTAATTCAGCAGTGGATCGCAGCAGCAACATTCGTTTTTATGCGGGTTTTCGGTCTTTGTAATAGCAAAGGTGTTATAATTTAGGCAATTTTTCAATTTTGAAAGTCAGCCAAATTTTTTGAGGTTACTTTTCCGCTTTCTGGTGTGATTTATCGCATAGAAACATAGAAATATAAACTGTGCGATTTTTGTGGAGATGGAAAATATGTTTCGGCCAAAAAACTGGTTATCGAAAGTGAGGGAAACAGAATTCTTGTAAGGGTGGCATTTCAAAGTTCGGTTTTCAGGTACGTCGAGTCGCAAAATCAGCCATCCACCGATCCGATCGTATTATGGCTGAATGGAGGTGAGAGAGAGAGACAGGCAGAGGGAGAGAGAGAGAGAGAGCGAGAGAGAGAGAGCAAAACTCAAAATTTTTAGGCCCCGGCTGCTCATCGCTTGGCGGCTTCTTCCAGGAATTAGGCCCGTTGAGGTATTCGGCTCAATTTACAATTTTCGATTACCGATATTATTGATTTTTACCGTATTTAAACTTTAGAAACAACCCCGATGGAACGACGCTTTTCGAAAACATCTACGCATGGAATAAGGTGAATATCCATGACGAAATTCGATGGTATTGACCATTTCGAAACAGGTCGAAACCAGAATTTTTTTGAAACGATTTGGAAAAATTTTGTTTTATTTTTTTACTCTTTGCCTTCATGAATTTTCAATTTTTCACCCGTTACAGTACGCCAACGTACTCTTCCTGGAAGCCCCACGAGGAGTTGGATTCTCCTATCGATCTAATGATGTAGATCCGGATACGATGTATAATGATACCTATGTAAGTCGGGAAAGGGCAGGCTAGCAGAGATTGTTGAGGAAGAGGAGAGGGCAGGCTAGCAGAGATTGTTGAGGAAGAGAAGAGGGCAGGCTAGCAGAGATTGTTGAGGAAGAGGAGAGGGCAGGCTAGCAGAGATTGTTGAGGAAGAGAAGAGGGCAGGCTAGCAGAGATTGTTGAGGAAGAGGAGAGGGCAGGCTAGCAGAGATTGTTGAGGAAGAGAAGAGGGCAGGCTAGCAGAGATTGTTGAGGAAGAGGAGAGGGCAGGCTAGCAGAGATTGTTGAGGAAGAGGAGAGGGCAGGCTAGCAGAGATTGTTGAGGAAGAGGAGAGGGCAGGCTAGCAGAGACCATTCAGACGGCCAACGACAACGTGCTCGGCCTCGCGTCTTTCTTCCAAAAGTTCACCGACCTCCAGAATCGGCCATTCTACATTACTGGTATGGTAATTTCCTCAGAATTTTCCGTTGATCTCTTGAAAAGCTGAAAATCACATGTTGTTTAGGAGAATCCTATGGTGGCGTGTACATTCCAACACTTACTGACGCGCTGATTAAGGGAATTCAGGTAGGCAAAGAGAAGAACGAGATAGAGAGAATGAGGGAGAGAGAGATATCTCTTTTTCAGGCCGGCACCTACTCGTATATCAAACTGGCCGGAGTGGCAATCGGCAACGGCATCCTCTCCGAGATCAAGCAGATCAACTCGGCCGTCTCGCTCACCTATTTCAAGGGACTTCACGATAAGGCGTAAGTCGTCTTCCGGATGCTCAAAGCTAAAAAATGCGGATGAAGATGTCAAGTTAGCAGGGATCATTTGCTGACACGTGCCG